CTTCTTGTTGCTCAACATGTTGGTCAGTTCACTGATACACTCAATGTTTCAACTTGATAATCATCATGTTGTATAGCCACTGCGTGCTGTCGTGTTGTACTATATGACCGGGGAAAGGTAATTTACATCCATACACTCTTGGATGAAACTCAAGGGCAATAGTGTGTGGGATGACTTGTGTCGATTCTTACTAACTCAAGTATCGTTGATTTTGGGATCGATGAATTCAAAAAACTTGTTGAACATCTGATTATTTTTTATGTAATATCTATATTTGAACTATTGTTGTACTAGAAATATTTGCATGTTATTTTTGAATGAATTGTGATATTTCTATTGTTATTTCGAGTGTTGCGAATAAAAGGAAAAAAAGCAGGGACAAACGATTAGGGGACATGGTTGGGTGGCCGACTGTCGGTGCTAAAACCGGTGAATCTTGGATAGGGGGTTCTTGTCTGTAGGTCTAGGACAATGGTAACAGGGGACGAAGGGAGACGATGTTTACCCAGGTTTGAGCCCTCTCGAAGAGGTAACACCCTACGTTCTGCTTGGATTGTATTAATGTGATGGAGTACATAATACACGATGATCTACATCAAGACTGTATGATTGTGTTTTAAACCCTAACGCTAGTAATCGTGCCTCCAAAGACTAAACCCTCAGCTTATATACATACAAGGGTGCCTAGGTTGCACGCATGATCTGTTGCCAACGCGTCATTTAGGGCGTGTTCTGGAGTCCTCCCAACTCCACCGAATCCACAATTTCAACTTCTGGAGCGACCTCCTCACTTCACCTGGCGATAGAAAAGCGTTCGGGAGCGAGGCTGGCTTCTCCCAGCGCTGCAGCCCAGCTGGGAGGCCAGAAGCCTGTTGGGCGCTCCTTTTGGGCTGGCTGTAGGCAGCCCATTAGGAAGCAAATTTCCTATTTGTACAAAGTTGTGATGGTTTGGGCTGGCTGGACGCAAAAAGTAACAAACAAGTTGTACGTGGTGACGCCTTGGACTTGCATGCACAGTTTTTTTTCCCAGTAGCTATTTGCAGCGATTTTGGCTACACAGGAACATGTACAGAGAGCATTTCTTGGGCACATGGAGCAACAAATGTACAACAAACATGTATTTTTTGAAAGTTCCCAAATTTTCTCAGCTAACATAATTTATAATTTAGTAGAAACTAGTTCTCTCATGTGTCATACAGCAAAAGCTACATTTGCATATAAGTTTGCAATATGGTCACACATCTAAAATCACGAACATGATTACTTCACCAAGTAAGAGCAATGGCGGTAGCTAGTTCATGCCTAAACAAATCCATGTTAGGACCACTTTCTGCCGTTGTTGAAGCATCCGATGCATTTGAAGGAATAGCATACTTCTTGTATCTATCAGGAATGGTTGGAACATAATCCGGATCCCTTTCACATCGAAGAAAGTGGAGATCCTCTTTGTCATGGAGGCAGACGTAGTTGTGTAGTGTCATGGTAGCCGCAACAATCATTTTTTGTGTTGCAATCGAGTAGTTTGGCATCTTGAGCAAGATTTGCCATTTCATCTTCCACACACCAAAGGTTCTCTCTATGGTATTGCGCTTGGAAGAGTGGATCCGGTTGAACTTCTCTACGGGAGTAGTTGGGGGCGCACCTCTTTGGAAGTTTGGGACGTGATAGCGTTCTCCTTTGTAGGGTGCTAGATAGCCATCTCTGTTAGGATAACCGGCGTCTACAAGGTAGTACTTGCCTACACAAAGTAACAACAAACATGATTGTGAGTTGGAGGATATGTTACATAAGTTACAACAACAAGAAATGCTAACCCTTGGGAGGATGTGGGGATGTAGCCTTGTCATTTTCAATAGCATGGAATAGCACACTTGTGTCATGCATAGAACCCGGTTGTCCAATTGAAGCATATGTGAAATGCATATCAAAGTTGCATACTGCCATCACATTCTGAGTTGTTGCACCCGTTCTTCCAATGTACCTTACTTTTGACGGTCCCTCCGGAATAGAAGCCCTAACATGTGTCCCATCTATTGCACCAATGCAGTCTTTGAGGTGAGGATAAGCCCGTTTGTCACGCTTAATCCTATCATGCACAATGTGAAAATTTGGGTCTTGAGGCCTAATGTAGTGAGATGACATCTTGATCACACAATGTAGAACCTCATGGAACTTACGGTGGACTGTATCTGCTCCATGTTTGAAACGGTTTTGGGTCCTCCTATTTGATTCACAACCCCCCAAGGTCCACAAGAACATAGCAAGAGACTCATAAGTGGTAACAAAGCATGTTTCTTTGAGGTCGTACTTCGCCACCAACTTGTCATGAAGATCAAAGAACACATGTGCATTCATTCTCAACATTGTGTACGTCTCTCCGGGTGTGCCAATAGTCTCTTGCAACCATTCAAAACCAGTCAACCTAGATGTCCTAGGCTCGGCCTTCATGACCCAACTTTTACAATACTTACCAACTATGGATGACACACCTGAGCAACGCATGTCCATATCATGTTGATATTGGAAAACCATAATTTTCTTTCTTTCATAATGAGTGTCATCATCACTTTCGCCTCATCTTGCTTTAGGAAAGACTGAAATGATGAGTGAGAAGCCTCGGCAATGTCACCAATCCTTGTAACTTGCTCACACATCACTTGGGCAGTCTTGGGTTTCTTGTTCTTCTCTGGAATGATGATTCCAAGCCTCACTTTAGATGAAGTAGGTGTTGCCTGAGATGCTTGTTCTTCCGTATCATCCAAATCAAGATCCTCGATCTCATCAACATTGATGGATTCTTTCACTGCCGCACTAGAGGGGGGAGGTATGCCAGAAGAGGGATTCCAATGGTCAGTACCATCGGTTGTGATATCTCCAAAAATAACCCGCAACTTTTCTTCATTAGCAAGTCCTTTCTTCTTGAACTTGCCACAACCTTTAATATCCTGTAATACAACAAGTGAAACACATTATTAGTAAATAAAAAGATATGGCTAAAATAAGATAAATGATACAACAACCAAAGAACTCACAATTTTAGCCTTCTTCCACCACTCATCATCTTGTGACACGGTGTTGTTCACATAGTCCCATCCGGCTCCGGTCTCCCGAAACTTGAGTTTCTTGAACAAGGTGAAATCAGCTTTAAGCTTGTCCCATTTGTTTTTCAATTGCGTGTGTGTGTGTAATCAAGCCCGGTTCTCATCTTAAATTGTCTTGTCACCTCATCAAATGCATTTGGGGTCAAATAATTGCCTGGCCTATTTCCAGCGTCCACTTGGTCGGCGAACAACTCACATACAATCTTAGTGTTCTCAACGCTCCATTCAGCAGTCATGCTTGACACTTCTCTACGAAAATGCATGTCACATTGGACCTCACATGTACAAGGATAATATGAAAACTGAAGTTTTTTGCAAAGCCAAAATCATGTCATAACTGAACTATACTTCAGAAATAAAGTAATATCTTAACAGAGCAGTACATATACTAGTTTTTCACTGTTAATATCTTAGCAGTACACATATTTAATCCTGACAGAGGCCCATATCTTAGCAGTACATATACCAAAGGTTGAACTCCCTAAATCAAAAGTACCATAAGATCTTGAATTATACTAGACAACAAGACCCATCACAGGGATTTGTGCTTTAATCGCCACCTGAATGAGGCGCACTGCAAATTACCCATAAAAATTCAGTTTACATACACTGCACAAAAATTCAGTCATCCATGTACTAGTTCTCCATGTACAAAAATACAGTCTTCCACTACGACACACTTCACATATCACATTCGTACTCCATGTACTGCTAATATCTTAGTACACATACACTGCTATATCTTAGTACACATACAGTGCACAAAAATTCAGTTTCCATGAACAGTACAGTACAGAGTAAACGAACACCATGTCTGCCATAGGTTCAGTCAATGGGAGCTCACCTTGTGGTTTGGGCGAGGGCTCTCGGCCTTCGGACTGCTGCTCCTGGCTCCGGCGGTTGTCTCGGGCATCAACGGCGTCCGGGCGAGGTCGCCATTTCCATGTGGTCGCTGCTCCAAGCTGGTGGCGGGACGAGCGCCGCTGAGCACGGGATCCTGCGGCAACGAGGCCGGGATCTCCGGATCTGTAGGCGGAGGAGGGGATCCGGCCGACGACCGGGGGTAGCGGGCGTGGCGGCGCGACTGGCGGCGGCGTTGAGGGTTCGAGTGGGATAGTGGTGGGCGTGAAGGAGGAAGGAGCAGAGGCAAAACTGTTCGAGAGAGAGGGCTGCTGGCTTGTTCTGTGCGCCAATCCAGCCCATCCCATCCCAGCCCAGCCACGGCGTCCCCTGCGACTCTAGTTCGCGCCGTGGGCTCTGCCGCCGCCGCCGCCCTCCGAGGACCCGCCGCTCGCCGTCTGCGCCAACGCGCTTCTCCCTCCGGAACCGCGCCAACTACAAGCCCCACCTAATCGCCCCCCAACTGAAGTCGCGCCCCCTCCCCGACGCCAACCTTCATCTGTGAAGCGCCGGCGGCGGCCTCCACCGCCACCACCAGGTAAGGCTTCGTTCTTTCTCTTTCCTTTGTTCCTTCGTTGCAATTGTTCGGCGAATGGAAGCTAACAGATAGAGAGAGGGCTCCATCTCTGACTGGCAGCGACCTGTGTGCTGAGGTGAAAATTTCAGAGGGTACATCGTGGGCAGTTTAGGTTATTTCACATGAGGGTATTTGGTGTAAACAGTTGGGGCATGTAAAATCCACTCCCCCTTAAGAGTTGTTGTATCGTCTGCAGTCCCGATCTTTGGTAAATTAATTTGCTAGCTGTTTAGCACAAAGTACAAAGGGACTGAAAGGATTTACTTTTTTGCCAGGCAATCCTAGTTGTGTATTTCGCCTACTGCAAACATTCCCTGGATAGTTGTATCTTGTGTATTCAGTTCTTGCTTCTGAACTCTGTAGGTAATCTGGTTGGTGAAGTGCAGGATTTACTGCTGTACAAGTGCAAATTCTTGTTGGGGATGGCAAAGGAAGCTGAGAAAGATAAACAAATTGCTGAGGAGGAGGAGGAGGAGGAAGAAGAAGAAGAGTATGTCTTGCTAGAGTTAGATGATGTTCATTATTCCTGCATACAACCAAATGCCCCTTATATACTCTCTGTAAGTTGGTTTCATCTCACAGTATGCAGCTTACTGGTACAAAAGGACATTAGGCTCTGTTGTAAATGTAATTAAGAAGATGTGGTGTCTCTAAATTGTCCTTAAGCACTTTTGTCATATTGATATATATAAAGAAAGAGTTCACTTTAGATTTGATTATATCAGAAATGTTTAAATGGCCAATAGAGTCCCAGAGCAAATTATTTTTTTGTTTGCACTAAGATGAAGCAGTAGGTTATGTGCTGATTATCTAAGAGAGTTCTTGCCATTAGTATGTTCCACTTCTTACATGAAAGGGCTATATATGTTTCTTGTGTTTGGAGCAACCTTCCTTCAGATTTGTTTTTAGGTTGCCATAGTCAATGGATACCGTTATCAGATACAAATTCCTGTTCAAGTTGTGTCTATGTCTGTTTCGTAGATTCACGGCGACAAGCTAGGTAGTTATGCGTTTAGTGATCGTCTTGTTGGCTTATTTGAGCTACCTGTACAATTTTGCTTACCGCCTTTATGTGTAGTTCGCTAAGTTATTTGTAATCTTCTTTTTCAGGGTTTGGATACATTGACTCCTACCTTGGTAGTAGGTGATGGCCTGAAGATGGTGAGTATTATTCATGTTATGTTCGCTTTTGAAGACGTTTACTTGTCAAGTTAAGGGGCATTATTCTTTTTTTTTTGCGGGGAGTTAAAGGGCACTATTCTATAGTTGTTTGAAGTTTATCTTATTGAACTTTTGGCACGGATGTTTTATATGGCTGCCATCTATAATAAACCATACCTTTGAGACATGGAGTGAATTTGTTGGTAGGGGTGTAGATCTTTCATACTGTATGAATGTACAACTAATGTATCACTGTTAGAACTTTACTTTGGGTGCTAATGTAATTTGTTTAATGAATGAATAAAGTTTGATCGCCTCCAAAAGGGAACTTTACTTGGGGTTCATATTTTAGAACGATATATCTGGATACACCCATTTATCTGGATATGTTAAAACCTTTTCATAATAGGAGACTGTCTGGAGAATATATTGAGAAAATTTTGTGAGTTATTCTTTGTGTGTATTATGGTGAATAAATAGATGGAACTAAGGTTCATGTGAACTCCATAATTGTTTGTGATAGCTTTAGCACTAACAAGCACTGTGTTAGCTGATGTTACCTGTACCAGTTAACTTCATTGGTTTTTCTTCCTTTTTTTTTTCTTCTGTTGTTTAAATATTGGAATCTCTACTTTAGGGCTTCTAGTTGTTAACCTAGTTGCTGAGTGAGCTGGTGGCTGATGCCTTGTTTAATGGCAGATTGGAGAATACGAAGAAACGGTTGGCACATGCTATTTATTTTCAGAAAGTGGTGAGTGTTTGCATCCCTCTGCAGCCTCTTTCTTTGCAGCAAACATTTCGCATGTCCTGTTAAATCCCATAACCGAGTTTTGTACATTAACCTGATACCCTGTGAATACGATGATGCCGTTTCCTTCAGATTTCCATGCTTGTTTCGTATGAGATGGCACCTTGTTCACACATAGCATGTTTTTATCTAACTTGTCGGGAAGGCAGGGCAACATTGCCATTCATGAGGAACCTTGTTCCCTGGCGCCGACCCTAGTGCAATTTTTACAGTGGATTCATTTGCTTTTTTAAATATTTTGCTTCCTTTCCAGATGCTCCACCAAAACCTGTTCATGGAGAGCCGGCACCTCCCAAGGAAAACAAGGACAAGCAAGGCAGAAACATCAAGGAAGCACCGCCCAAGGAGGTGAAACATCTGACGAGCGTTCACAAGATCCTCAAATTCCGGTCGACCAGTGAGGGTCGTCAGGAGCACAGAGCATACCGATACAGGGACAAGGAGTTTTGACTCTTCTAATGCACACAGCAAGCGATCCTTTGACCCTTGGAATGCGAGGATAGTACTCCTTAATCTTAATTAGCCACTAGCATTCTCTATCCCGAGGTAACCAGCGGTTGCGATGCATGATTCCGGTGACTCTTATCCTCTCTCTATGAAGTATGCACTGTTAATCTTGTGAAATTCTGCAACAATGGAGTTCCCGGTCTGTATGTAAACTAATGCAGCTCTGCCTAAAACTTGGTAAAACATCCAGTGCTTCTGAAGCCATCCAGTGCTTTTTTGGACCCAAGAAGCCATCCGGTTCTTGAGTTAGAAAAAGTCGTTGGCTTCCGGTTGCTTTGCAGTTTGCCCCACTTGCTATTAGTCTAGTCTAGACCAACCTCACGCGCAACCGGAATGGATCTGGAATTCTAAAACCTCTTTAAACGCCTAGACCGGAATCTTGATAGCGATTCCCATGTAATATAAGAGTGCCGCCCTGTTGCCACTTGCACCATAGAAAACACCGAGAGCTCCTGCGCTCCTGCCGTGAACGTGGGAGGGAGGGGGAGACCAAAGACCAATCGCAGCGGTCGTGTATATAACAAAACAAAGCATACATACATAGACCCAAGCCAAGGCAAAAGGAGCCAGGAGTTGAATCATTTTGAGCTCCTGCGCCGCGCTAGATCTGAAGAGAAGCAAAGATGCAGCATCACAGCAGCCTGCTGTGCTAGACCAGTCCTTGAGCGTGGTAGCATCGGACTCGGAGATGACGGGGATGATGGAGTCGGTGAAGGCGAGGCCGGCGAAGGGCGGCAGCGAGTACCGGCGGGTGGAGCCGGAGGAGGAGGAGGAGCTGGACGGGGCGGAGTGGGCGCGCAGGGCCGAGGCGGGGAGCCGCCGGCGGAAGGCGGCCGAGCGGTACGTCTTCAACTGCGCGCTCTTCGCCTCGCTCAACGCCATCCTCCTCGGCTACGGTCAGTCATCTTCTCTTCTTTCATTCCTCCATCTATGTTTCCTCCCTCATCTAAACTCCCATTCCCCTTCCCAAATATTGCCAAACACGCCGTGAGGATCCAACCTTAGTTCTCTGCTCGGGGAGAATGCGTCGCATCGCAACGTTGTTTGCATGAAGGGGTTCGAATGTTGCTGAGCACGTCACGCGATCATCGGCGGGCACAAAACACGTGGCGTTGCTGTAGCTTAGCAAGAAACTGTTGTATTGAGGATCGGAGTAGAGAACATTGTCGTGTTTGGCAGATTGAGGTTGGTAGGTGTGGCCGTGTGGGAGCCTCTGACGCAGAGGGGACCTGGGACTGGGAGCCGGGATGGAACTTTCTGAGATGGATCGTTGGTTTGCAGCGCTAGAGCCTAAGGATTGGTTAGTCCAAACCACCATGGAGTTTGCTTAAACTTGTAGAAAAGTGGCATCTGCACTGAAACTAGTACTACGTAGTACTACAGCTCTGTCTCACTCACCTGCCAACTCGTCAATCCGGCCAAATTGCAAATCGCATTTTTCACCGGGCTATCTGGCCTTTACCATTTGCTTTTTTTTGTTTGGAGTTTTCCACTATCAAATACTGCCAGAAATCTTTTATAACAGGAACGATCTACATCACTCAAATTTTCAGAAACTTGAAATAGCTGACAACGTAGACGTAGTTCTACACCGTGTAAATTACTCCGGAATCCAAGAACACGGTACGGTAACAGTCTGACTCAGCAATAGTCGCAGTCCTGTTTGCCGGCGAGGGCGCGTCCAAGTCCACCTTCCATAATTTTCCATGCCGAAACCGAGTAGGAGTACATGACCTGATGACCATGACCCAGGCAGACAAAATCGCCAAAACCAGCCCAAATAATCCCAACCGAACTCTAGCCCCAGAGACTTTTTTTTTTTTGCGGTGGACTAGCCCCAGAGACTCGCAAGAGTGGACCGTTCTCTTCTGGAAATGTTTTCACTCGAAAAGGAAACGTACTATGGAGTAGGAGTACAAATCTTGGCACCTCGCCTCGCCCAGACCAGTAGGAAAGAGACAGGCGAGCGGCGAAGCGGAAGCACGTCGACATCCCCCACCATCCCCGCCTCGCGCCTCGTTCGCCGTTAATGACCTCCAAATCGGACGCCACTCCGCGGCAACAGCAGCGTCGCCGGCAGCGCGGAGCGAGGCGATGGCGGGCGCGGCCGACGGCAGGGGGAGCAAGTACGCGGCCCTCCATCCGACCGACGGGCCGGAGCTGGACGCGGCGGCGGTAAGCCGGAGGAGGCCCTCGGCGTCCGAGAGGAGGAGCAAGGAGAGGTTCGTGTACGGCTGCGCCATCTTCGCCTCGCTTAACGCCATCCTCCTCGGCTACGGTGAGTCCTCTCGCGATGCCGCGGCCGGAGAGTCTACGAATAGAAATGGCTTGTTGTGGTGCGCCCCCGTGATTGGAATCGTGAGTTCGCTCGTGACATCCTTCTGATGGCGATAGAGATTTGCAACTGCTGACGCTAGATTTTCATCCCATTCACGAGTGAATCTTGATTTTATTCTCAGCCAACACCATAACAGACTGAAGAGAAAACTTCGAAACTGCGACATGAAGTTAAGACCATGTTATCTTGATGCAACATACAGTTACATACCTATGTACGTAGATGATTTAAAAATTCAAACTGAGATTTTCAGCATCCGGAACATGACTAGTGTACTTAGTTTTTGTGGCTGCCGTGCTATTGAGCTTCTAAGAGATTTGAGATTCCATGCTTATCTATCTAACACTTATCATAACCCAAGACTCATGCTGCTATCTGCAGATGTCGGTGTCATGAGTGGCGCAATCATCTACATCCAGAAAGATCTCCACATCACCGAGTTTCAGGAAGAGATCCTAGTTGGTTGCCTAAGTGTGATCTCACTCTTGGGAAGCCTGTCAGGAGGAAGAACGTCCGATGCCATCGGCAGGAAATGGACAATGGGCCTTGGTGCGATCATCTTCCAGACCGGTGCAGCCATCATGACATTCGCTCCTTCGTTCACCGTGCTCATGATAGGGAGGCTTCTCGCCGGGGTGGGCATCGGCTTTGGCGCCATGATATCTGCCGTCTACATTGCCGAGATCTCCCCCGCGGCTGCCCGGGGGACTCTCACATCCCTCCCTGAGATCTGCATCAACTTGGGGATCCTTCTCGGCTACGTTTCCAATTATGCTTTCTCGGGCCTCTCCGAGCACATCAGTTGGAGGGTCATGCTTGGTGTCGGTATCCTCCCGTCTGTCTTCATCGGCGTCGCGCTTTTTGTGATCCCGGAGTCCCCCAGGTGGCTGATGATGGAGAAGAGAGTTCCAGAGGCCAGGGCGGTGTTGCTGCAGATAAGTGAATCGGAGGCTGAGGTTGAAGAAAGGCTGGCTGAGATTGAGGAAGCCGCAAATATCATGAAGTCGGTTAATTCTGAGGACAAGGCGGTGTGGAGGGAGCTGCTGAACCCTTCTCCGGCCGTTCGTCGGATGCTGTATGCTGGCTGTGGTATTCAGTTGTTCCAGCAGATCACTGGAATTGATGCTACTGTCTATTACAGCCCAACAATTTTCAGGGATGCTGGAATCAAGTCTGACCAGGAGCTTCTTGCAGCAACAGTTGCTGTTGGATTTACTAAAACGATTTTCATACTGGTTGCCATTTTCCTCATTGATAAAGTTGGGCGCAAACCGCTTCTGTATGTCAGCACCATTGGCATGACGGTCTGCTTATTTGCCTTGGGGACTGCACTTACATTGCGAAAGCATGCTGAGGGGCTTATTTCTCCAAATCTTGGGATTGATATGGCGATCTTTGCAGTTTGCGGGAATGTGGCATTCTTTTCGATCGGGATGGGACCGATATGCTGGGTGTTATCTTCAGAGATATTTCCTATAAGATTGCGAGCTCAGGCATCAGCACTTGGTCAAGTAGGTGGCAGAGTGGGCAGTGGCTTGGTTTCCATGTCGTTCCTCTCCATGGCCCGTGCTATATCCGTGGGGGGAATGTTCTTCGTCTTTGCAGCGATCTCGACCGTCTCCGTTGTGTTTGTGTACTTCTGTGTGCCGGAAACTAAAGGGAAAACTCTGGAGCAGATTGAGATAATGTTTGAAGGTGGCAAGGAGTGGAAAGGAGGTGGCGAGGTCGAGCTTGAAGATACACAGCATTTAATTCAGGGTGACAAGAAAGCTTTCTCTCTAGGTTGATACAATCAGCAAAGCAACAAGAAGCTTCATGTCAGTGCTGAAACAGCCTCGTCCTGCTTCGGGCATCAGATTGAAAAATGATGAAGCTGCCTTCAGCTGCTGCCGATTTTGAGGGCTCAACAGGACTTTACTGCGCATAGGTTGTAACATAGATGGTGTATTGTGTTTTTAGTGTAAAGTACTCCATTATGCAACCATACCACAAGTATCACGTAGAAGGAGGACACAATGCGGTTGTATCTGGTGGTCTCTTCCACCTATAAAATCAATATAGTCGAAGAATTCATTTGTAGAATTTCATTTTAACACAAGAAACATTGTGTTCTTTTTTCCAGAAAAAAAAGGGTGAGAACAAGTGGTGTGATGCGAACCTCGTGTCTCTTACCTCCGACTGAAAACTAACTGTATGCGCTTCTCGACCGAGCTAGTATTAAATTACATGGTAATTTTTGTGTTTTTTCTCTAGAATACTAATGATTGTCGTTCGTTGTGTTTCAACAGGCCAATATGAACTTGCAGTCTTTGAAAGTGTTTTTTGTCTCTAGCGCTCTATGCCTACACGACAAGTGTAATATGGCAAGCAAAAAAGATGTCTTCTGAATCATAGCCCTAGTATCGAGTTCGTTTCGAAGAATTAGCCAAAAGAACACATTATGTTCCTTGTGACAACAGGAGTGCCACAGCCATTTGAAAGTTGCAGGGAGTTTGTGCTGCCCATTGAAATCTGGCATGCTTTTAAGACAGAATAAGAAGGCCCGCACGGAGGAGTCCATGAATCATGGTCATATGATAGGTTTTGCATCTTCAAGAGATGGTGATTGGTGAAGTTGTCGCAACTCTTTTTTTTTCAAGGATACGTCAGGAATGACGTATCGAGATCATAGATAGAAAGTGCCAAGATGGCAAAGATTTGTCGCAACTCTTGAAAGGCCTGAAGTAGTAGAGGAAGGTGAAAGAGATCCACCAAACATCATGTAATAGTGATATGTTCTTACAGATCCACCAAACATCATGTAATATCGATGTGTTCTTAGATTGGCGTATGTTACTAGTACTAGGTGAGGTAATGGGAGCTGAAAATCCATGCATGACTAGGCATCTTTTGAAAGCATAATGGATGCACCATTTTGTAAGTGACAAGATGCCATGACTAAACTGAGACAACAGTTTTAGGCTATCTCTCCATCAGAAGAAAAATGACCATGATGTGATTCTTCTAAAGTTGTTTGATTTTGAATCATCTCAGACGTATGAGTCTTGCTTACTTAGAAAAATGAACACAACACCTTTCGCTGGTAATAACGAGGGAATTCCAAGACATTGGAACTCATACATAGTGATGCATGTGGCCTGATGACCACGCCTGCTAAAGGAGGTTATCAATACTCATAACTTCAACTCATGAATTTAGTAGAAATATATAGGTCCACTTGATGAGAAAATAATCCTAGTAATGAGCATGGCATGAGAAAATAATTGTTTATGAAATTGAAACCGACATAGAGCAAGAGGTTACAAAAGCAAACCAGCTAAACAAATAAGTTTTTATTTGAGTTTCTCCAATATTATCCCACCTCTAGACCAAATCTTCCATTTGAGTTGCTCCACCATTGCCAACACCCTAAAAGCTTGATTTCTCTTCATCCCTCCACTCAAACTCCACCAAACCATGATCATTGAAAGAGAATCACCTGATCTACACTTCCACTAAACCAATTTGTAGTCACCATACTTGTGCATCACCAATACTTGTTACTTTTGGAAATTTGGGACTCATATGCGCTAGGAGTAGAGCCCGAAAGCTTTCATTCATGTGGTGTAATCCGGGGAAGTTTTAAATGAAGGAAATATGCCCTAGAGGCAATAATAAAGTTGTTATTTATATTTCCTTATATCATGATAAATGTTTATTATTCATGCTAGAATTGTATTAACCGGAAACTTGATACATGTGTGGATACATAGACAAAACACAATGTCTCTAGTAAGCCTCCACTAGACTAGCTCGTTGATCAAAGATGGTTAAGTTTCCTAACCATAGACATGTGTTGTCATTTGATAAATGGGATCACATCATTAGGAGAATGATGTGATGGACAAGACCCATCCGTTAGCTTAGCATAATGATCGTTAAGTTTTATTGCTATTGCTTTCTTCATGTCAAATACATATTCCTTCGACTATGAGATTATGCAACTCCCGGATACCGAAGGAATACCTTGTGTGCTATCAAAAATCACAATGTAACTGGGTGATTATAAAGATGCTCTACAGGTATCTTCGAAGGTGTTTGTTGGGTTGGCATAGATCGATATTAGGATTTGTCACTCCGAGTATTGGAGAGGTATCTCTGGGCCCTCTTGGTAATGCACATCATGATAAGCCTTGCAAGTAATGTGACTAATGAGTTAGTTGCGGGATGATGCATTACAGAACGAGTAAAGAGACTTGCCGGTAACGAGATTGAACTAGGTATGGAGATACCGATGATCGAATCTCGGGCAAGTAACATACCGATGACAAACAGAATAACGTATGTTGTCATTATGGTACGACCGATAAAGATCTTCGTAAAATATGTGGGAACCAATATGAGCATCTAGGTCCCGCTGTTGGTTATTGATCGGAGAGGTGTCTCGGTCATGTCTACATAGTTCTCGAACCCGTAGGGTTCGCACGCTTAACGTTCGATGACGATTTTGTATTATATGAGTTATGTGATTTGGTGACCGAATGTTGTTTGGAGTCCCAGATGAGATCACGGACATAACGAGGAGTAAAGATTCATATATAGGACGATAATATTTGGACTCCGGAAATGTTCCGGGGGTACCGGGTACGTATCGGGTCACCGGAAGGGGTTCTGGGCTACCCCCCGGCAAACTATATGGGCCTTATGGGCCAAGAGGGGAAACACACCAGCCACTAAGGGGCTGGTACGTCCCCCATATGGGCTGGCCAAATTGGAGAAGGAAAGGAGAAGGAGGAAAGGAAAAAGGGAATTGGATTCCCCCTTCCCCCTCTTCCCTTCCTACTCCGAATAGGAATACGAAAGGAGGAGGCCGAATTGGGAGGTGCCCAAGTAGGATTCCTCCTACTTGGGGCACCCCCTTGGCTGCCTCTCCTCCCCTCCAACCTATATATACGAGGGGGCACCGCTAGAACACACAAGAAACATTGTTAGCCGTGTGCGGCACCCCCCTCCACAGTTTACGCCTCCAATCATATTCACGTAGTGCTTAGGCGAAGCCCTGCGCGGATCACTTCACCATCACCGTCACCATGCCGTCGTGCTGATGGAACTCTCCCTCGACACTTTACTGGATCAAGAGTTCGAGGGACGTCATCGAGCTGAACGTGTGCAGAACTCGGAGGTGCCGCACGTTCGGTGCTTGATCGGTCGGTATGAGAAGAAGTTCGACTACATCAACCGCGTTGTCAAACGCTTCCGCTTTCGGTCTCCGAGGGTACATGGACACACTATCCCCCTCTTGTTGCTATGCATCTCCTAGATAGATCTTGCATGATCATAGGAAATTTTTGAAAATGCATGCTACGTTCCCCAACAGTGGCATCAGAGCCAGGCCTATGCGTAGATGATATGCATGAGTACAACACAAAGAGTTGTGGGTGATGATAGTCATACTGCTTACCACCAACATCTTATTTTGATTTGGCGGTATTTTTGGATGAAGCGGCCCGGGCCAACCTTACATGACCACGTTCATGAGACTGGTTCCACCGACAGACATGCAACTTGTTTTGCATAAAGGTGGCTGGCGGGTGTCTGTTTCTCCAACTTTAGTTGAATCAAATTTGACTACGGCCGGTCCTTGTTGAAGGCTAAAACAACAAACTTGACGAAATACCATTGTGGTTTTGATGCATAGGTAAGAACGGTTCTTACTAGAAGCCCGTAGCAGCCACGTAAAACTTGCAACAACAAAGTAGAGGACGTCTAACTTGTTTTTGCAGGGCTTGTTATGATGTGATATGGTCAAGACATGATGTGATATAAGTTATTGTATGAGATGATCATGTTTTGTAAAAGTTATCGGCAACTGGCAGGAGCCTTATGGTTGTCGCTTTATTGTATGAAATGCAATCGCCATGTAATTGCTTTAGTTTATCACTATGCGGTAACGATAGTTGTAGAAGCAATAGTTGGCGAGACGACAATGTAACATCCCAAATTTTCAATTTGGAATGTTATACATAGATCATCCATGCATATCATGTTTTATTGCTTTTCCGTTCCGTAATCCTCGAAATCCTAAGCAGCTCAAGGACCCTCGGAGAGAGTTGGGGATTTCCCGGTCTTCATATTTGATTCTTTTATCAAATAATGAAAAGAGGATTTGATTTTAATTATTTCTCTCCGAAAAATATTTCACATTAAAAATTAAAGAGAGAAGATAATATGACTTCTCCAAAATAAATGAAATATTGGAGGAAAAATATTAAAATCATTAAATTGATTTTTATTCGGATTTTATTTGCATTAGAAAAATTGCATGTTTTTCAAAATTGCATTTTAGGGCCAAGAAAATGTTCATTTTGTTCTAAATATTTTATTTAGACGGTGAAAAATTGTTTTGGCATTTTTAGGTTTTTATTTATTTTTTTCTAGGATTTTATTTCGGTCGGCGAAGTTTAAAAAAAAGGGGTTTCGCGCCAACTGGGCGTAAGGCCCAGCCGTGCCAGGCCGCTGCCGCCGCCACTCGGACCGGAGTCCGAGTTGGACTCCGCAGCCGCCGCGCCTTGCCCCCTCCTCCAAGTCGCCGCCCCCGCCCCTTTATATACGCCGCCACCCCCGCCCCAACACCACCACCGCCGCCG